TGTTTCTTTGTGTGCAGCTGTTAAACAGAGTCTGAAACAATGCCATTTAAACTGAGTTACCAATTACTTCCTTTGGTAAATCTCAGTAAATATAAGGCAACAAATCCTTCGTTTGTGAAGTTTAACACATTCAGCCTCATCAGATCCTAAGAAGCTAAACACGGGGCAAAGACTGTGACTGTGTGGGACACTTAGGCTGAGATGCACTCCTGAGTATTGCTTTTTTAATATTCCCAAAAATGAGATTTCAGCTGCTGTTCAGTCTGTTAAGGTTTATTAGCACACCTGTTTGACCCGCGTGTTTGTTTATATAAACTAGATCCAGTCAAAATGCCGGACACTGTCTCAGTATGTGGGACAGGCGGACAAAACGTGCAGCGATTTTGTTCCAGTTTTATTTGTATAGCTCAGTATCACATGTAAAGGCTCACAGGACTTCCAAGGGCATAAAAACATATTAAAAGCAGAACAAAATAACCAAAAATTAAGTGCCGTGAAATGCAAAAGAGCACCCAGATGCAAGATTGAGTCTAATAAAAGTGAGCCTTTCAGGGGCTAAACTACACAAAGTCCAAAGACCTGGAAACCTGGAAACCAAAGCGTCCAAACAAAAGCAGTTGAAAATGTGAAACGAAGGGAAATCAAAAAGCAAGCGAGGCTACGAGAAAACAGGAGTCTGTGAGGAGACGACAGAGCTGTGGGGTGCAAAGCTGGATTTTTGTCTTTATTTTTGGTGTGATAGATCACTACAGTAAAAATTCAACATGTCCACATCTGTGTGATTAGCCCGTGGGACTCAGAGTAACCTTTGATATTTAAATGGATCCAGTTTACTAAAGTCTAATGTGCAGCTGTCAGGTTAAAAATAAACAGCAGCCCCGAGAGCGCTCCAAGAGGGAAAAGAAAAAATATAAGATTTTGATGTTTAACTTTTCCTCTGATAATGCCGCTGACTAAAGTAGGCACCAGTCTATGTTGTGTGTGAAATGATGAATACGAGTGAAATAATGTGCAATCATGTGTAAAACTCCCCTTCTATGCGAGCGCTCACATTAAAATGCTCACGGTGGAAGAAAACAAATGCA